TTTGCCCGGCGGCTGTCTCTCCCTCCCCTTCGCCGCCCTCCCCCTCGGCCTCCCTCGGGCCTTAGCTGCGAATCGAACCCATCACCTCCGGTCTACAATTTTGGTACTTTTTAGTCAACCAATAGTACCGATCTTTATTGATCTAAAAACAAAAAGTAAATATACAAAATTCTGCACTATTACATATTGGTAACTTTTCTGTTCTTCAAACGACACCTTCTGAATTTTCTAAATTTCGTAATCCTTGATCGGAATATAAGATCAAAATACCACATAAACAGGTTAGAACCAAATTGGGATAACGATATATTTAAAATGGGGTCTTAAGCCAAATTATATAACAATGACTTACGCTTCAATAATCTGGATTTATATGGACAAAAAGTGCAAAATACTATTGCAGGGAGTTCGTCGCAACGAGAGTTTCTTTAAAAACATGGGCGAGAGAACCTTATATAATCATTTGGAATAGTGGTGCGATCGGTACGAGCTTTCTGTCCTTGCCAGGCTTACGTCGATAATAGATCCAAAGTGATTTTATTACAGATATTTCATCCATCAGGAACATTAATTAGAAAATTGTAAGGACCTTTCATAGATCTAGTCTGGATACTAAATGCCAGAATGAATTTCTTGAATGCTATGTATATAAACGTTGCCCCGTCTTGAAATACTTGGGAGAGACTACAACTTGCAACATAATGACTAGAAGAAGGTTGTATAATTGATAGACGTAATCTGGACTTAAATGAATATGATGTTTTTAGTAAATGTGTAATTTAACTAGTTTAATTAAATAACATTTTAAATATTTTTCGTGGTAATATCTGCAAAGGTTTAATTATATAAATCACATGAATGGCAAAGTGATTTTGGAAAATTTCAATTACTTAACATTTTTACAATTTTACTTTTATTGTGCAATATTTTTGTTAAAATTATCTTTAACAGTTAAGAATTCATAAATAAATAATGTTAAGAAACCTGACATTAGAATTACAAAAAAAAAAAAAAAAAAAAAAAAAAAAAAAACGTTAAGCAAACAAGTTGCCAAGAATTAAAAAATCTAAAGTTAAACAGTTAAAAAAGCTAATAATTATTTATTTTTTAGAGATTTGTAAAGTCATTAACTAAGAATGCTGAAATACCTTAAATAAATAGTTCCCCAAAAAATTATAATTTAATTTTTTTGTGTGTTTATCAAGATCACGTTTATTTAATTAGTACACAAAGTCATAGTTTTGCGTAATATTATACAAATATTTAATTATTTGGTGTTTTTTTTTTTTTTTTGACGATAGCATCTTATCTTTTTATTGAAACAATTGCGAATATTTACTGTCACAAGTTAAAGAATACAAATATACTTACTCAGTCGAAAAAAAGACAAGAAATTGAAATAAAATATTCAAAGATTTTACTATTTATTTATAAAATATGTATTGGTGTCATTTCGTTAGATTTCTTTTATTTTTAGAAAACAAATTCTCCATACTCTTAATAATTCATGATCGTCTAAAAAAAATTCTTGTTTGATATTTTGAGAATTTAATAAAAAAATTTTCTGTAATGTGATTTATTTTTGTCTTGTTTTATTTTAAAATGAAAGTATTTATTGCTTTTGGCCAAGAGTTATTTTAAAAATTTACAAAACAAGTATGTTATAGTTATCGGCGGATTTTGATTTTCGTACTGTATACATAGTACGTATGTACATACGGTTGTGTACTTTAATCAGATGTTGAAAATTTTAAATTCATGTACAAGCACAATGCCAAGTTTGTATAAAACAGCAATTGTCTTCTTCTTCATTTTCAATTAATTTAACCCTGTTTGTTGTTGTTGATTTTTAAGAGAGCAAGCATGTTTTAACTTCAATGTCATAGTTCAAAACTGTGATCGGGAAATTTCTAGGTTCAATATAACAGAAAATTTTTAAAAGTATCAATTAAAAGTACCATTCAATCGGTGATCAAATATGTTAAAATTCTTGTAAATACGACTTTGTAAAAAGTACTATTTATTTGAGCAAAAAGTACGTTTTAAAAAAGTACTAAATTTTTCAACATAATTTGGTCGAAAATAGGGCTTGGAATCCGAGTTCCAAAAGACCAACATGTAAAACTAAATCAAAAATTGGCTTTATGAGTTTAAATATATTTAAAATTCCCATTGTTACGCCCCTTTTGGTACTTTTTCTTTTCTTCTTCTAAGGGCTAATCTTTAGGTGAAAGTTTAGCGATTAAATTAAAAATTAATCCGCGAAAGATGTTTTTGAGTACTCATTAGTTAATTTTGTTTGTAGTTTAAGCGCCCAATGGAGGTGGTTTAATCTTAAGCGCGAAATGCAAAAGTGTGAACAGCTGATGCAAAAAAATTCATAAAATTTTTATAATATAAACATTAAAATGTTCTATTTATTGATTAGTATAAATTATGGACACTTCAAAATACATTTTTTTGTTTTTAATTTAAGTTTTCATTAATTTTCATATTAAATTTACAATTGTCTTCTTCTTTTTTATAAAATATGCATTGTTTTGATAACAAACAATGAAGTTTTCTGTTGTTTTGTATGGCAACACTGCGAAGTTTAATCTTGTACTCAAAAACATCAAAGGGGATTAACATAAGATTAAATTTATTTATAGGTTAACTCATCTAATTATTAATTGGCATTTGATTACCATCTCAAAACCCCGGTCTAAGAAGCAGATAGAATAGATAAAGAATGAGTCAAATATATAGGATACATATCTATCTCAAATTTGACCCCAAATACACAAAAGGTTTAATTTAGCTACATGCCACATTCATACTTGCGCTATTTTTAAGTAAATATAAAAAACAACGATTTAAAAAAATGTATCTAGATTTCAAACATTTAAAAAAAACATTTTATTTGTCTTATGTTTATTGTGTTTTTACTTTCGAGCAATTGAAAGTGAACGAACAATTTTAAGAAATAAGTACTCCACATTAAAAGTGGTTGCGTTTCGAAGGGAAATCGCTAATAGTATTTCAGAGATGATAAATAATAAATATAGCGCGAAAACATTAAGAAGAATAAACAAAATAAAATGTTTTATTGACGATAAAAATACTAACTATATACAATTTATTAACTAAAGACTTAAATACTTAAAGATTATGTATAAACATTAGAGTGCTGCAAAAAAAAAATTAAGTTGCAAATTTTTGCCCGTAACGCCCATAAAACTTCCGAGCCGTTGTAGCACCTTTTAACATTATCTTATCGGGCAAATTTTTTGCATGATATAGTTTTACAACTCAACGACAGCACAATTCTAGAAGTGGAACGGCCTATCGGACAAAATTTTGTCCGAGTTGTTTGAATCAAGAAATCATATTACTGCTGAAAAGCGGGAACATATAGATTGAAAGTTTAATTCTTGACTTGATTGACTGGAACCCCCAAAATTATGGCAAAAATATTCTTTATATTTAAAAGAGTCGCGTTACTGACTGATTGATCATCGTACTGCCTGGAGGTATTTTTAGAAAGTCGAATTTTTATAGAGTAAAAAAGGGTAAAGTCAGTAACCTCTTATATCTAAAACTAAATCAGATACAACAAAAATGTTACACTTATCATTGTTTATTCAAAAATAAGCGTACAGGTAATGATACTTCTTGAAATTCGGTGCTTTTTAGGAGTAAAAGAGTAAAAACTGTGTTGTAGTACTTTTTGGACCTCATCTTCTAAATCTGTGACATAGAAGTAAATTTATATCACATTCGTACCTCATTGAAATTAGGGTTCTATAGTTGAAACGAAAAGTCGACTTTTCGACTTTTTTCATTTAGTTAAAAGTCGAGTTTTCGACTTCTCGACTTTTTGCATTGTGTGAAAAGTCGGTTTTTCGACTTTTCGACTTTTTTCATTTAATTAAAAGTCGACTTTTAGACTTTTCGACTATAAGTATTTTATAAATAGTAGATTTTTCGACTTTTTCCGACTTTTCGACTTTTTGAATTTTTTCGACTTTTTTCGAGTTTTCGACTTTTTCCGACTTTTCGATTTTTTCGACTTTTTGACTATTTTCGACTTCTTTCGACTTTTTTCGACTATTTTTTTACTTTTTTCGAGTTTTTCCGACCATATTAGAGTTTTTTACTTTTTTTTTCCACTTTTTTAAGATTTTCGACTATTTTTGACTTGTTTCTACACATTTTCGACTTTTCGACTTCTTTCGACTTTTCGACTTTTTTCGACTTTATTCGACTTTTTTCGACTTATCGACTTTTTTCGACTTTCAGACTTTTCGACTTTTTTCACAGACCATAGTCGAGTTATCGACTTTTTTGGAACAAAATATTCGACTTCGACTTTTTTCGACTTTATTCGACTTTTTTCGACTTATCGACTTTTTTCGACTTCAGACTTTTCGACTTTTTTCGACTTTTATTAACAAAGTCGACTTTTCGACTTTTTTCACAGACCATAGTCGAGTTATCGACTTTTTTGGAACAAAATAGTCGACTTCGACTTTTCGACTTTCTTCGACAAAAAGTCGATTGTTCGATTATTCGAAAGTCGATTGTTCGATTATTCGAAAGTCGATTTATAGAACCCTAATTGAAATATTACGAATACAAGTTTGGTACTTTAGGGTTAATTCGGGGCGTTTTAAGATGTAAAAATCTTACTAGTTTTGGTATTTTTTTATAAAATATTGTTTTCTTCTTATTGGTTTGTACGTCCAATAAGTCGAAACCATTCCTCCATTCACAGTAGTACCATTCCTTCCATTCACTACGATGAATGGTGTGTTTTGTGAAACTCGATTTTAAACCCTACTTAGTAACAAATTGGGGGGCGAAAAATTGTGTACTTTTGTATTCAATATTGCTAAGAAAAAAAAATGATTTAGATTAACATTTGAATCCAAATAACAAGAGAATCTCTAATAACTTAATAAACTTTAAATCTTATTGAAAACTTTAATACTAAAACTGCATATGTTTTATTTTTTCAGATACAATAAACACCATACCATACACCAACAAAATGGCTTAGATGTGGCAACAGAATTGTAATGCGAAAAGTTCTTAAACCTTTAAAAAACAACACCATTTAATATGCATACATGACATAACAGCGACATCCAACAGCAATTATATGCCCATGGAACTCCAACTATAAGCAGGCTGCAATGGAAAAATAACACAAAAATAACGTAAAACGTTAAAATTGCTAAATAAAATACATTCCTATAATAATTATACACTAAAACGCACACACACACATACTCTCCTCCGACTTACAAATTAGTCGCGACTCGTCCATTTTGTACTGGTATTTATTACAAAACTAGTTTTTGCCAACTTGAGCTAAAATTCTGTTAGATTGCAACAAAATATTGTACAAAAAAAAAAAAAAAAACAATAAAATAAGTTACAAACTTTTAAAGTGACTCTGTAATAGTACGAATAAAGGGGTTAAAACAGAATACAACAAAGTTAAAAATATGACAACGTCACAAACTGAAATCACACAAATTCAAATAATACAACTGCCGGTTCAAGTATTAGCAATAATGCAGGAGGAGGCAATGTTGTTAACGGAGTGGAACGTAGTACCGGTGGCGGTGGTGGTGTTGTAACTAGCATCTAAAACTACTAATAGCAACAATTGGTTCACAACATAATATTGGTAAAGATTTTTTTATGTTTTTGTTATGCTTTTAACTTGTTTTGTTAAGTTAAAAAATGTTTTTAATAAACAAACTATAAGTGTTCAGAATACCCTACGATCTGAACATAAATGATGAGAAAGTAGCGATGGGTCTCTAATATTGAAAAGTCTATGAATGTACTAAAGATCGGAATGTAACTAAAGATCGGAGTGTAGCACTCCAGCTATTTGAAGGCGATATAAATCCCAATCTGTCTCGAAAGAATCGGAGTTTTCGCACTTCATTATGGTTTAATTTAAAAAAACAGGAGTGTCTTTTCTGGTTAAAATTGTGGAGGTTCAAAAAGCCCCTAGGTAGATATGGTTCTTGGGAATTTGTTAAATCATATTAGGATCTCAAAAGATCTTCCAATAAACTTTACTGGATCATTATTTTCTAAAGATCAGTATAGCAATATAAAGAGTAATCTCTCTCATGGATTAAGGTTCCATTTTATTTTGAATTATAGGTTCTTGCTAGTATGATGGTAATGTAGTTCAGGAGCAAAGATCATCCAGTAAAATAGAAAGATGAGAGTGGTGATCATAAATAGTATTGGACTACAAAATGCTTTACGGAAATGATTCTCTTCTAGATTAAATTTTTTTATACAAATTTATAGTTGTTCAGATATCCTACGACCTGAACATAAAAGATTGGAAAATAGCGATGGGTATCTGATATTGAAAAGGGTATTAGATAGTAGAGATCGAAGGCAGGCACTCTAGCTAGTTAGATGCGTCCGTCACTTCTTGGCTATATAAATTTATAGATCTGTCTCCAAATAAATTCGTTTTCACTCCCGATCATGGTTTGATTTTAAAAACGCATGAGTGTCTTTCTGGTTCATTTTCTGGTGGTTTAAAAAAATCCCTAACATAATATGGTTCGTGGGACTTTGATAAATCATATTTAGAAGATCTTCTAAAAAATTTACTGGATCATTATGTTTTGAGGATCAGTACAGCAATATAAAGCATAGTTCTCCTCTCCTGGATTAAGGATCCGTTTTATATTTTGAGTTATGGGATCTAGTTAGTAATGGTAATGGAGGTCAGGAGCAAAGATAATCCAGTACAGTAAAAAGATGAGAGTAAGTTGAACAGAAACAGTAATTGACGCAATACTATTAGAATGTAGGACTACAAAATGCTTTACGGAAATAATTATCTTTTAGATTAAAACTACATTCACATGAATTGATTTTAATATAAAAATGTCACGATAAATCAGATAATGGTCTATAGTCCAATTCTTTAGTTTTAAACAAGATACACACATTTTGTTTCAGGTTAAGTGAAAAACACGATTTAAATTAAAAAAAAAACTATAAGACATGATTGATCGTCATTTAAAATTTTCTGCAGTGTTCATCTCATTAGAAATAATATAATTACTATATTTAATTTTATTTAAATTAAATTACATAAGAAAGTTTTAAAATGTATACGAATTAAGCTTCATTTTGTACTACTCTTTCATAATGATTAATGATTATTCTATGACTTTATGATCGCTTTTATTTTTGCAGTAACTCTATTTAAAAGTGCCAGACTTTCAACACGCAATAATAACATTTTTCAAAACCATAATTTACACTCCAAAACTAAATGTGTTAAAATTGCGTTTCATGTACGTGCTTACTTTTTTTTTCTTATTTTAAAAGCCATCTTTTGTTTTTCACTTTACGTTTCATGTTTTAAACATTTTAATTTTGTGATTTGTTTAAATTATTTACAAAGAAAAGTTATAATAAAATAACTTACGCTGTTGTTACATGCTGTTTCTTCATACATTAATTTATTTAATTATTTATGTATTTATTTAAAATGTTTAAACAATATCATCTTTATTTTATTGTTGTTGTATTTTATTTATTAAGGTTATACTCGGGTGTATTTTATTTAAGGTTTTCTTTTTTTAACTTACCCGTTGAGTAATTGAATTGTTTTGGGTATTTGAACACAAAAGTATTTAATCTAAATTGCAATAAATTTTCGATTATTTCGCAGTGGTTAAACTATTAAGTGTTTAGAGGAAAATTTTGGCAAGTATTTGTTTGTTTTTATTTCAAGGCCGTTTAAAAATAAACAATGGTTTTTGTTAATTAATTTATATGTATGTATATTTAAAAAAATACATGGTTTTAACTTATTATTCATAGAATGATAAATGGCGTTTATTTCAAAAGAGTTAATAAATAACTAGATCTCTACTTATGGAAAGAAAAGTGCCAATTTAATAGTTTATTCCAAAGAAATAAACCATTGGCTCCTGCTATGTAGTGTAGATGCTCTTTGGAATAAACGATATATACTTTTTCGTTAACATAAAAATAAGCGATATTGATTGTTTATAACCTATAACACTGTAGTGTGGACGATATTACCGATTTATGCTGTTTTTGCTATTTATGCGAATTTTAAAGATAATTCGATGGTATTGGAATTATAAGTATTTCTTTGGCGAAACCTCATCCCTTACTTATATCAATCGGTCATCCCTTACTCATACAACCGGACACCGGTATTTGTAGCTCATATAATATCTCCGCAAAAACAAAGTTTTGTATTAGCCGATTTCATAATACAAAGTCTCCCTACAAAACTTGGTAATGACTTTCATTACCTCAATTAACAACATACATTTCATGACTATTAAAACCTCCTTACACGAGCACACAAGTAATATGATCTGTCAAAATTTTGTGTAGAAGAGTACAGATGGGATCGTCTAAAGTTTAGAACTCTAACTACTAGGCCCAGAATCACTTTCTGAGTCAATTAAGCTATGTCCGTCCGCCTGTGTGTCCATGTAAACCTTAGACACGCTACAGGTTGCAATTTTCAAGATAATTTGATGAAATTTGCACATACCCAAGAAAATGATACGGTCCTTTATTTGGCCAAAACCCTCATACCACCGTACCCCCGAATAGGGCTTTTTAGCTTATAGTAATGTTAAATATTGTACAATCTCTACAAAAATAGAAAAATCTTAGTTTTATTCACGTTTATTCAAAAAATACGTGAAAATAATTCAAAAAACATATTGTCATTGCAATCAAAGATTTTGCGGGTCCTTTAGGGAATATCGTCGACGTTTTGGATTAAGATTTTTAGGGCTAGTTATTTAGTTAGTTAGTTAGATAGTTAGTTAGTTTAGTTAGTTAGTTAGTTAGTTAGTTAGTTAGTTACGATTAGTTAGTTAGTTCGTTTAGTTAGTTTTAGTTAGTTAGTTAGTTAGTTAGTTCGTTAGTTAGTTAGTTCGTTCGTTCGTTCGTTAGTTAGTTAGTTCGTTAGTTCGTTCGTTAGTTAGTTAGTCGTTCGTTGTTAGTTTTAGTTAGTTAGTTAGTTCGTTAGTTTTCGTTAGTTAGTTCGTTCGTTAGGTAGTTCGTTAGTTAGTTTAGTTAGTTCGTTCGTTTAGTTAGTTCGTTCGTTCGTTCGTTCGTTAGTTCGTTCGTTAGTTTAGTTCGTAGTTTCGTTCGTTAGTTCGTTAGTTAGTTAGTTCGTTAGTTCGTTCGTTCGTAGTTAGTTCGTTTTAGTTCGTTTCGTTGTAGTTAGTTAGTTTAGTTCGTTGTTAGTTCGTAGTTCGTTCGTTCGTTCGTTCGTTAGTTCGTTCGTTAGTTCGTTCGTTAGTTAGTTAGTTCGTTCGTTCGTTAGTTTCGTTCGTTCGTTTCGTTCGTTAGTTCGTTCGTTCGTTCGTTCGTTAGTTCGTTCGTTGTCGTTCGTTAGTTAGTTCGTTCGTTAGTTCGTTCGTTCGTTGTTCGTTCGTTCGTTCGTTAGTTCGTTATTGTTCGTTCGTTCGTTTTCGTTCGTTCTTAGTTTTCGTTCGTTCGTTTCGTTCGTTCGTTCGTTTCGTTCGTTGTTCGTTCGTTCGTTCGTTCGTTGTTCGTTTTTCGTTCGTTCGTTCGTTCGTTCGTTCGTTCGTTGTTCGTTCGTTCGTTCGTTCTTTTCGTTTCGTTTGTTCTTCGTTCGTTTAGTTCGTTAGTTCGTTAGTTAGTCCCCTCCGATCCGAAGAAATGCCCCAGACTGCTATCGGGACTAGAACACTCACCACTAAGATTTTACCTTAGGCAAGTTTGTTATAAACATATCTTCAAAAATGTTTATTATAAATCCCCGACCTAAAGAAACTCCATCTAGAAACCACATTTCATTGCATTGTTCTTTTTTTCCTACATTTCCAATATCGTTGCTTTAGCCTACTTTGATATTGGCCTAACTTTTAATTATAAGGTTTTCTGGAATTCAGACCACGGCCTGTTTCAACATTCCATTGAATCCCATAAAAGTACAGTTTTCCATATCGACACAAATTATTAAACTGACAATTCATAAATTGTTTTTTACAATTAAACTTAGTCAATCCAAAATCATATGTAAATTGATTTATTTCTTCTATTCTAACACCCTGTATTCTTAGTATTTTTACATATTATGTAAGTAATAAATAATATCGAGTCTCTATAATTTTGAATTAAAAAACAAAACAAAAAAAAAAAGAACGTTAAATATGTAAACACTCATACACACCATTAAATACACTACTTAATATTCCAGCAACATAGATACGACAAAAATTGTTTATAGAAAATTATTGGCCTCCAGGGGACTTAATAAACTGCATACACAACTCATGCATTTCTAATTTTTACAAATTCTTTGTTTATTATTTACAATCATATATTTTCCCCCTGTCTTCGAACTCTAGACAGAAACTCTACTAGCAACTTCTTTATAATAAAAGAACTAACTAAATTCCAGACATTGCTTCCAAAACTGACAAACTATGAAATCCCAACAACAAAAAAGGTGTGTGTATATGCGCCAATTGGTTCAATAACATGACTCAAGTATGAGTTACATTTAATGTTTAGTGTAAAAGGAGTTGATATATATTTTTTTTGAGACAATTTGAGGAGTGCCGCAACAGCTGAATATAAATATCTGAATACTACATGTGTCCCTGCGTGTTT